GAAGCTTCAGACTGAGAAATAAGCAGAGAAAAATCCCGTTGTTACCCCTGGGGAAGTGTGTTGTCCAGCCAGTCATTGATTGTCACGGAAAAGCTGACTTCCATCAAGTCCTAGGCCCGAAACTTTACAGGATTTTTAAGGTAAAGATGTGTCCTCTACGGCATTTCACACTCAATCAATAAACAGCAGGATATGTTAGAAACTTTCCGCATGCAAACGTACGCACTTAAGTGAACCTCGCGTGATATGCGTCAAAAGGTGGAACGTTCTTTGTCGAGATGAAATTAACAGCGCTCCACACAGTCACGAACTTCTTCACTACAAATGCAATCATGAGCAACCAACATTCATCACCCCCGTGGCATATACAGCTAAAAAGCGTTCTAAGACGCACGCAGAAGTGAGAACGATCAGTCAATATCTGTTCGATGCTACCGTCTCACTTAGTGCATTAAGATTAGTACTCAGAATATGTACCAAACACACAGACGATCTAGTGCAACACGTATCGGTCGATTGTTCCAGGTTACAATGCAGGTATCAAGGTGAACCTCAAGTGTTTCATCAGGCTATCTTAACTTGTCTGGCAACTGTACCAACATGTTTGAACCCATGTGGACAACAAGGCACTATCATAGCAAGGTTAGTGACGAACATATTAGGCGGCCAAAGTGATTAACTTTCCGATTGCTATTCAAACTGGTGATAGGGTGACTTGTGAAGAGACAAAATAACTGAGAAGGGTTGAAGGTATTGACGTAATACACTACTCATAAGGTTGCTGAAAATTCTTCGAGAGCCCACAACCGGTTTCGTCCTTCTTGAGGCTCATTAGGTGGTCGGAGTCTCCCAGTTTCCTTCAATCATATGTTCATTCGGACACGAATCGCACGAAATTAGCGAAATACACTCTTTTGCAGAAAAAATTTTGGTTTTGCGGGGGACTCACCTGGAACCCAGCTGATAATGAAGTTAAGCAACTGAATGTGCTGCACCGGGTCGCCTCTTGTTTAAGTCATTATGATATTCAAGATATCGCGATACATTTAAAGACGTATACACTACTCATAAGGTTACTAAAAATTCCTCGACAGCCCTTGACCAGTTTCGCATTCTTGAGGCTCATCAGCTAGGTGCAGTCCCCGAGTTTCGATCGGCCCGATGTTCGTAGATGAGTGTATTCCGCTAATTTCGTGCAATTCGGGTTCAAATAGAACATATGGTTGACGGAAACTTGGATAATGTGCCTTTCTGATGAGGCCCAAGAAGGGCGAAATCGGTCGTGGCCTGTCGAGGAATTTTCAGCAGTCTTATGAGTGGAGTATTACGTCTATACATGTATCGTGATATTTCGAATATCGCACCAGCTGACATGCGCACAGAAAACGGCCGAAGCATTTGGCATTAAAACGAAATCACTCAGCAAGCGCAACCAGACGACAACACAGATGAAACTGATCACTAATAGTCAAGACAGGACGAGTCAGATGTCAGGTCAAGCAGCATCAGCTGGAACTTGGCAAACAAATATGCGCACTCATTACTAGACACGTAAGTGCAGCCAACAGGCATTTTGTGTTTTGCCTCTGAAGGGTTTTATGTTTGTCGCTTTTCTTCCTCTATCATTTGAGATGCTCCTCCACCAGCGAGATATCCTTCTCGGTCGTCTAACCTTGTGTAATACTTAGTCCAAAGAAAGGCGCTGGATGACCACCAGATGTGAAACGAGCTCTTTTGTTGCGCTTTCCCAATAGGCATTCAGTATTTGAACAACATCTCTTGACTTTGTAATTTTCCAGAATTTGATTGGTTTTCAAATGGATGACCTTCAGGCTTATTGGTATCTTTATTGACATGTGTCACATGCGTGAATGTTCAAGGTAATCCGAAGACCTTGATAAGCGGTTGCTGCTCCTAGAGAACAGGGCTTTAAAGCCGGATGAAGACAGAAACGAGTGCCGATAATAGACTAGGTTTAACTATTGTATACTGACGGCATGAAACACTGAATGTTTCCGAACTCTCCACTGATATTCACCCCTTGGTCTAGGTTATTTGTAGTCGCGATGCCGTTGTTTTATTGATCCGTTGTCAAGACAAGGCGAGTGGCGCTTGTGAACATGTGTAGATGGAACCCTGGTGGTCTTGCCCACATAATCCACTCCACAAAGAAAGGCAGTGGATGTCAGCAAAGCAACTGTCCTGAAGGGAAACATGGTGAGGACTTTGGTGGCGTACTATCTATCTGTCAAAGACTTGTTTAAATGGCGTCCAACTGGCAGTGGTTTCAAATTGCACCGTATTGACATCTAACTATTTCATCAGCGAGATGTCCTACGAAATGGATGCACAAGTAGCGTGTTTGCTGAGCCTGCCCTGGGTTGTTCTGTCATGAGTTCCGTATGGTCGCACCGCCAATCGGAATCACCCGACCGATCTCGGAAGCGATGACTGAAACCCTCGATAGAGAGGCAACCACTCGCCGTTGTTTGGTTTGCGGACCTTGGCGCTGCACCGTATCGGTCAGTGTCAGACTTGCGCACATGTTGTTGCCACAAGTTCCGTATCATGACCTCAACAGTACCGTTGATTAGGAATGGCGACCTCATTTGAGATCTACTTTAGTTTTACCTGTTGTCCTACAAATTAGTTTCTTTTACACCTACTTATCTTGTTTGCTGCCAACCAGATGGTTCAAGAAAGGCGGGGAACGAGTAAACAACGTTCATTCAAAGGTATGAGCGTCGTATTTACGTACGCGACGTTGCGATTCTCGAGAATTTCTTCATCTTCCTGATTATTTTTCATTATGCCGAACATGTCTTCTACACACCTGTGGTAGATGGCAAGTTTGTGTTGAGAGTCATGTGGCGCAGTAGTTTCCAGCAAATCTGCTTCTAACGGATCAACTGGCGGTATAGGTAATCGGTGAAGAGACATTCAACATACGACGTACATATCACACGTAGCTTCTATCAATGTTCAGCAGCAATTCCAGAGTCTGTCTGACAGTCGCGTACATCTTCACAAAGATAGTCAACAATTTCTTGTAGAGGAACATTGGTGAAAAACGAGCCGACGTTAGGCGGGCACATTTTTGTTAGCAGGACTAATAACTCTAATGGCAACTACGAAGCCGAATATATCACATAGGCCGTGTTTGCTCAAGTACTTGCTCACCGCATCAAGGATCCTAGTTAGTCACACAGCTA